AGAGAAAGAAAGAAAGAAAGAAAGAAAGAAAGAAAGAAAGAAAGAAAAAAAGAAAGGAAGGAAGGAAGGAAGGAAGAAAGAAAGAAAGGAAGAAAGAGGAAACAACAAAAATGAAATGGTATACTAGTCCCAAACCAAAATTCATTTAATTTTTTTTAAAAATTAAACTCAAGTAAGCAATTTAACAGCAATTTTAAGTCAAACTGTGACAGGTAGCAAAAGAAAGATACACAGATTTGATATTTAGATGCTAAACAATGGCAGCAGAAAAATATTAAAAGTCTTTATTTTCTGTAGCCCAAGGATTTTGTCTCTATAAAAACAGAAAACTATGTACATACGGTAAGAACTCTCCAATTCACAGCAGCATCTGGGGTCTGAGCAAGGTGCTGGAGGCCACGCTCACTGGCATGTGATGAACGGCATGTGTAGTCCACACTGTATGTTGTATGTCCAGTACCAGGGCTGCAGTGATGTCATAGGACACACCACGGAGGAGTGCTGCCAGCATACCTCAGTTCCTTAGCACGCGACTCCGAATCAGTGGTTGGTGGCTGCGTATTCAGAAACCTTTTACGGTTGCCAATTTTCTGTGGCTTCCATATTGAGTTAAGTGACCACATCTTGGGGGTCACAACCCACAGCTTAAGAAGCTGGGGTACAGGGCTAGACAGATGGCCTGGCAGTTAGGAGCACTTGCTGTTACTCTTAGGCTTGCTTCTATTGCTGTGAGGAGACCTCATGACCACTGCAACTCTTATGACAGAAAGCATTTAATTGGGGCTGGCTTACAGTTTCAGAGGCCATTGTTCTCATGGTGGCAAGCATGGCAGCATGCAGGCAGTCATGGTGCTGGAGAAGTGGCTGAAACCATACGTCTGGATCCACAGGCAGGAGGAAGAGGGAGAGTCAGGGCCTGGATTGGGCTCTTGAAACCTCAAAGACTGCCCAGTGACACACTTCCTCCAACAAGGCCACCTCTCCTTCTAATCCTCAAATAGTGCCACTCCCTGATGACCAAACTTTCAAATATATGAGCCTATGGGGACCATTCTTATGCAAACCAACACTCTACTCTTGAAGAGGACCTGGGTTCAATTCCAGCCCCCACCCAGCAGATAACAAACACCTGTAACTTCAGTTCCAGAAATATGATACCCTCTCCTAGTATCCAGTGGCACTAGACACATGTGGTATGCAAAGACATGTGGGCAAAACCCTCATACACATAAAATAAAAATAATTTTAAAGAGAAGCTGGTACATACATTGTAACTATGTTTTAATCTTTACTGAGTATGTGAGATACTTGTCAATCAAAGTCGATGGTTGTCTACAGTTTACAGCCCCTTGTAGCAGGTATGACTTGTAATCACGGCCATTGGTCAGTATCCCGTTGCTACCGGACACGACAATACAATCCTGTGCTTATGGGTGTATGTTTAAGAGGGCTAATTTTCGTTCATTAAGTTTGGCTTTGTTTTTCAAAACAGGGTTCCCTCTGTGTAGCCCTGGCTGTTCTGAAACTTGTTCTGTAGATCAAGCTGGCCTTGAACTCAGAGATCCACCTACCTCTGCCTCCTGGGTGTTGAGATTAAAAGCATGTGCCACCACTGCCTGCCTAAGAGAGCTAATTTTGTCATTTGGAAGATTAATTTAATCACAGGGTAATTATGCAGAGTCCGCCATTCTCATGGCACACTACAGTGTGCCCTTTTCATTTGCTTTCCTGAGCTCCCCCCGTAAACAGATATTCAAGGAATTTTATTAATTAATTTGACTGCTTTCAAGTCTTATGGTCTTATTCTAATTATTTCTCCAATAGTCCCTGATCCAGTAACATGATGTCAGACTGTCCCTAGTGCTCAGGACGAGGGTGTTAAAACCAGAGCAGTTTTTGATAAATGCGGACAGCTGCTCGCCTAGAGTAGCGGTTCTGGACAGTATAACAACCACCAGGTAGTTCTGCTGCTGGGCAGTTCTTCCCAGCTCCATGATTAATGCTGTCACACAGCAAACTTGAGACTCAAGCCATGATAGGGTACTTACAATATGGAAGTCAGAAAGTGTTTCACTGGAGCTTGACTTACTATTCTGCTGGCTGTTTACATTTATGAAAGTAGCTGAGAAAAATGTCAATAATGCAGATCTTTAAGGTGTCTAAAGCCATCGCCTGTGAACAGCACACAAACTGAGAAATGAGCCTGTGTCCAGCAGTCACCAAGGCTTTGACCAGTGAAGCTTTCAAAATTTTAGTCTTAAGTCTAGTTAGGGGCAGAGGAGATGGCTCAGTGGTTAAAAGCACTGGCTGCTTTTGAAGAGAGGCCCCAGGTTCAATTCCCAGCATCCACCTAACAGCTCACAACTAGTTTTCAAGTTTTTGTTTGTTTTTTGGTTGGTTGATATTGGATTTTTTTTTTTTTAAAGAGGGCAGGGTGTCTCACTATGTAGCCCCAGCTGGCCTGGAACTCCCTCTGCAGACCAGGCTGGCCACCAACTCACAGAAACCCACCTGCCTCTGCCTCCCAAGTACTGGAATTAAGGTCCTGTGCCACAAGGCCTGGAAAATATTCAGAATATTTTTGTCTGTGCCTAAAGTTTATCTCTTTTGTAATCAACCCTGATCTGATTCTAAAAGCCACGGCTGCCCTGATTGCCATAGCCAGAGATTCCTTTGTTTTCATACTTTATAAATGCGAAGTAATATTGAATGTTAGCATTCTTGTATCTGGCTTGCTTAGGAGCATAATATTGAAATGTAGCCATGTTGATCAAATATCACTTTGCTCCCTGGCTGAGTAATCATCTATTATATCAACACGCCACGACTTGTTTATCCATTTTCTTATTACTAGACATTTGTTAGTGCCAGATTTGGCTAATATGGATACAGTTGCTATGAACGGTTTGGTTTGATTTTTTTTGGTTTTTGGTTTTTTTGGATCAAGATTGTTGACATATATTTTCCTTTCTCTTGGATAAATATCTAGATATGAAACTGCAAGCTCGTACAGCAAATGCATATTCAATCTTTAAGAAATTGACAGCTGCTTTCAAAACTAAGGCCCGCCCCTTTAATCATCGCACTGCACTCACCATAGCTACTAGATTTTTGTTATTTGTTTGTCCTTTTCGGAAGGATAAGCTAGATAATGCCCGTGAAGAGCCGAGCATAGCACTTAGCATAAAGCATGCCGGGCAGTTACTCCATTCACTGTCCCTGGCTGCTGACTCTCGGATCTCTCCTAGCATTAGCTGGACCTGGGTCCCCACCACCTGCACTTCTGACCCTGCCAGCTGCAACTCAGCCTGAACCAAACTGTTCTCTCCTCTGAGGCTTGGGCAGATGAGAATCTGCCCAAGCCTCCCTCCTCCCATCCACAGCCTGCACATGCATGCCCAAGGCCTGTAGATCCTGCCCCCTTAGCAGCCCTTGAAATGAGCCCTCCTCCCCTCCCGCTCTGCTGTCATCTAACTGAAACCCGCGGACTGCCACCCCCAGTCTTGCTGACACTGCAGGAGAAGGCAGGTTGGTGCCAGCAATGTGTGCTTGGTTCTGTCTCACCTCCTTCCGTTCCTTTCTGGATCCTTGATGTTCTTGGCCCCTCCTCTGCCCCTCGCCTGGGCTCATCTCCCACCCTCGACTTCGTCTTGTAGCTGGCCTTTTGCTTAGATATCTGTGTCTTGCTGCTGGGTGTCAATCATTCTTCCCTTCTCCTTCCTCTCCTGACCCATCAGCCCATCAGCCCACTGACCTTCTCCTCTCACCGAATCATCAGTACTCAGGTGGGATGATTGTGAGCTCCAGGAAGCATCCTCTTGGCTAAACGCCTCTGTCGAGCGCCTCAGTACTTACCCCGGTACTTACCTCAGTACTGCTGGCCCTGCACTGCTCCGCACCGCCTTGCTCCACTCTAGATTACGAGGTCCCAAGACTAGGGAGCAGTTTTATTCCCATTGGCATTGCTAGCAGCTGGAACATAGCAGCTACTTGGCAGATTTTTGGAAACCCAGCTCTGGTGTCATTAGTTGACTTAATTTTATAGTTGACCTATAATAGTATTTAAAACTGCTATGTCCTCACCTCTCTTTCCTGTCATCCACAGCCAGATGAGAATTCACTGGATTTTTCCTCCTGTATGTTACGGCCTGGGATCAAAAACGCCCAGGAGCTGGCTTGTGGAGTGTGTCTCTTAAATGTGGACTCCAGGAGCCGGGTAAGTTCTGGCCTTCCTCCTTCAGCTGGCAGGGTTCATCCCTAACATGATTTAAGGGGCAGCTGCATGTTGGCCCCTTCGCAAGCGCTGTGACCAGAGGCGGGGATGCTGACGTCTAGAAAGGTCTATAGAAGCAGATCTGTTTTTTCCACAGGGTAGTGGAGAAGATGCTGAAGGAGTGAGCAGAGTCCTTCCCTCCCAGCCGAGCATTGGATTCACCCCAGGGACAGGGGTGGGTGGGAGCGAGAATGCCAAGCCCATGTGGCTTTACCTGGAGGCAAGAGGCCTGTTCCAGGGACTTGATTAGCTTTTTTTTTTTTCTTTTGACCTTATGGTTTCAACATTTCAGAAAGAAGAGCCGCCTGCAGAAGAACAGCCTAAAAAAGTATGAGCCAGCTATATGTTACTTTAGTGTCTCCATCTAAGTCTTGTGTGTGAGAGGCCAGCAGATAATTCTGTTGTTGTCCTGGACTGTACCAATTGTGAATCCTCTACTGACTCATTCTCATCCCCATAATGTTCTATCAAATCAGCTAATGTGTCTCTGTGGGGCCACTGCGTCCTGTTTGCATGCTTGTGGCTGCTAATCAGCTTCTGCTGTTGTCGGCATTTCTCTCTGCCACGAATCAGCACCTTCTGGAAGACTAGAAGTTGTAGAGACAGTGAATGAGGTCGCAGAGCTTCAGGGTTTAGTAGATAACAGATAAAAAAATCAAATCATTTGGGTTTTAGGATTCGACCTGTGGTGTTTAAGAAAACAAACTGTAGACTGTTACCTGCCATGGGTAACTGAGTTACAGATGAGCGGGGGCTCTTGTATGTCCACTCAGTTGTCAGCCCCCAATGGGCATTAGACCAGCGGTTCTCAACCTTCCTAACGCTTCGGCCCTTTAATACAGTTCTTCATGGTGTGGTGACCCCCAACTATAACATTATTCTGTGGGTTCTTCATAACTGTAATTTCACTACTGTTACAAATCGTAATGTAAATATCGATATGTGACCTGACATGGGTCCTGACTCACAGGTTGAGAACCGCTGCATAAGACCTTAAGAGTTAATATCAATTGATTTCTAGCTCTTTTAAATGTTTTCAGTACTGATAGAACTGTAATTAGCCACACACCTAAGGGGTCACATGTTACAGCAATGCCAGCTTCCAGGGAAGGTGGCCTTTAAAGTGAGGGAACCAGTTACCCACAGGCCTTGACTATTTTAGTTCCCTTGTCCTGCCCCTTTTTCTCTCCTGTAACCTCTACCTGCCTTTTCTGTGAAGATTGGGCCCTTTGCTGAAACTAGGTTGGATAGTACTGACTTTTATACCTTTAATTAGCAGTAAAAATAAATCAAGCTTTCCTACTTGGATCCTGTAGCCACCTGCTCAGCTTTTGTCTGTGTGCCATCCAGGCCTCCGCCTCGGGGACCCCCGGGGAGCGCCCGCCCCTGGTGGCTGCTGATAAGCTCTTAGATGTAGGAAGACCCTGACTTGCCTCTATCTCTCTATTTCTGGCAGGCATTCAACTCGGAGACAGACAGTTTCAAGCTGGCCTATGGAGGACACCAGTACCACGCCAGCTGTGCCAACTTCTGGATCAACTGTGTTGAACCCAAGCCTCCCGGCCTTCTCTTACCGGATCTGCTCTGAAAAGCTGCTCAATGAAGCTGATTTTTGCTTGTTTCTGTCACAGGACTTAGGGTGTCAGGGATCAATAAATAGAATGCAAGTACTGCAAAGTCCCCTCCACCGGTCTCTTTGAAGCATTCCCCAGGAGGTTAGGGTCCTACTAGAGAACCTTCTGTCACTACTTCTGCCTGCCCCTCTTTGAGACTTAAGATAAATTGCTAGACCCAAACTGCACGTGGCACTGGATACTTGCTTGCTTATCTCCTCTGGTTTTGTTGTTGTTGTTCGATGGTGACTGGGTTTGATTTTCTTTTTTATGGATAGGGCCTTCCTTGATGCATACCCCTGGCTGACCTTGAATTTGCATAGATCCTCCCATGTCTGCCTCCCCAGTGCTGGATGACAGGCTTGTGCCACCATACCCTGTTTCTCTTGTCCTCTTTAGATAATTTCAAATGCAGACCAGAGTTTTCTGTGAGGAGTAATCTACTGCTGAAGTGTATGTGAAACATTAACAAGAGAAGAAAAACAAGTTATGCTAGGACCGGAGTCCGCAAGTTTGTCTCCAGCCAGCACTCGCTTATATCTCCAACATTATGGCTGGCCCTAGGAAGCAGAACACATTTTTCTGCATTTAGCTTTTAAGTACTTGAAGTGAATAAAAAAGGCTTGTGATTAAACTGATGCTCTGTCCTGGTAAAGAGAACACTGCTGTCTCCATGGGACAGCGACAGGCAAGGAGGACACATATTCACCTCCTGTAGCACCTCACCCTCTTCCCCTTCCTGAAACTCAGCTCTGAAGGAAGCCCTCCCTGCTTTGACAGAGCCCAGAGCCTGTGTCCAGGATGCACATCCTTCTCCTTGAGCCTTTATTGAGAAGCTTCTGTTTTACCTCAACATCAAGCATGACACAAAGCATGGTGTTTTCCCACCACATAACAGCCATGGACTGAAATCTCTTTGTAGCGACCTCTTTCCACATTCCCAAAGAAGACTGCTTAGGAGCCATCAATGCTGGACTTGGCAGTACTTCAGGAGAGATCTGAGAACGAACTCAGGGTGAGAGGGAGTTCTAGGCCCCGTGCAGTGGTTCTCAACCTTCCTAATGCTGGGACGCTTTAATAGAATTCCTCGTGTTGTGGTGACCCCCCAGCCATAAATTATTTTTGTTTCTACTTCATAACTGCAATTTTGCTAGTGTTATGAATCAGAGTGTAAATATCTGTGTTTTTCAATGGTCTTAGGTGAGCCCTGTGCAAGGGTCACTTTAACACCCTCCACAGGGGTCATTACTACCCATAAGTTGAGAACCACTGGCCTAGTGAGAGGAATAGTAAGGTAGGAGTGTGTGTGTGTGTGTGTGTGTGTGTGTGTGTGTGTGTGTGTGTACCTCAGATGCAGCAGAGGAAATAGGTTATCAACAGCACTGAATTTTCAAAGGAAAAGGTTCACACTGGTACAGGAATTTGACAGATAAACAAAATGCATAAAACCAAGAGAACGGAAGCGTAAGTGGTTAAAAGGGGTTGTTCCCAGGAGAAGCCAGGGAGTCTGGGACAGCTGTTCCTCTGGTGTGTCGGTCTGGGCTTTGGGAAACTCTCTGGATCTCACACGCTTCTCTTGTCTGATGTAGTTTTTATTTGGAAGTCTAAGACGTTGGCTTTTGTCTGTCTCACTCCTGCTTTTGCATAGTTCACACCTCCCCTTCCAGGACAAAACCTGACGAGCCTCTTGCTGTTCCATCTTGTACCTTTGTATTTTCCCCAAGACACGGGTCATTTTCAGCTGTTGATGCAGCTTCTCCTCGGCCTTTCTGTGGACCAGAAGGCAAGGTGAAGAGCTGAAGAGCCTGTTTACTCATCTGTTCCCAGTGACATCATCTCCAGCTCCTGACATTCAGAAAGCTGTCTGCATTGTGACTACATGGCCTTCCCCTCCCCAGGGCTGGTGGAGTGTGGAGGCTCCACACTCAGAGTAGGCTGCTTTTCAGCGCACTCTTGTAATGGCCCCTCTAGTGTCTCTTCACGCCCCAGAGTAACAAGTAGGCCCTCCAGTCTGTACTCTAGATTATTAGTAATGGGATTGACCTTAGCATTACAGATGCTCCCATTTTTGCCACATTTACACCACTGGGGCATTTTCTGGCAATGCTGTGTGAAGTATTTTCTGCACAGTGGCCTGTATCCATGACATCTGTTAAGTACCTGTTAGCTAGATGGTCTCCACTCCTAGATGTATTCCAGAATGCCTCAGTTTAAATTCCTTACCATAGGGTTAGTCACTCCTTGGGAGGTGCCAGAGGAAAATTTAGTGGGCGTAGGCAAAAAGCCTTTACCATGAAAATTATTGACTGTTTAATGCTTCAAAGGCTTAGTTAGAATCCTCCAGCAGGGGTTAGAGGGAGTGTGCAATATTAGCCGGCTGATTTTCTTTGTACGCATGTATTAAAATGACTCATGTTGCATTCAGCTTTACCTCAGCTCTTGTTAGCCAAGAGCCTGGTCCGTGTCCTTGGAAACAGTAACCAAGGTTACTCTTCTCCACGCTCTGCATTGTGTCGGGCAGCTTCACCCACAGCTTGAATAGCGACTAATAAGCACTTGGGTTTGGGTGCCGTGCCTTGCCTTTTCTGTCCTATGGTTGATGTATGACCTGTGTGGACATGCTTGAGGCAGAAGGACCTCAAGGTGCGCATGAATCTCATCTGAGCTTCCTCCGTCTGAGCCTACTAGTTTGCATACCATCTGGGATACACATTTTAAATTAGTATTTTGTATTGCTATATGTATTTTAGGTGTTTAGGTGTTTTGCTTTTGGTTTTTATTTTTGGTCTTATACCCTGTTTTTCTATTTATGTGTCATCAAAAAGATTTCTCAAACAGAGATTGGAAATGCTTTGCACTGGAATCTGCTCTAAGGCTTCTAAATACCTTCAAGGTCAAACACCCTTTAACGGGTAACAAATGGACTCTTGATATTTTCAGACATTTGTCCTGAAGGAGCCATTGATGCCTGCTGTAGACATCCCAACAGATGCCAGAATGCAGGTCAAAATGTGTGCAGCCTGTGGTTTGTCTAGATTGGGTACCACTTCTGTGCGAAGGGCACACCAAATAATTTTGAAAAGCCCCCTCCTTTCCAAGTCCAGTCAAGAAATAGAGCTTATGTGAAACAGCTCAGTTTAAAAGACAAAAAAGAACTTTACAAATACTTTAACAAAGTATCATTACGGTAAATTCTTACTTAGTTCCATTCTTTATATGGTGAACATAGTGCAAGTGGCTTCTAAACAGGTCACCTGTGACCTCTCATGTCGTAGCTGTAGCCCAGCTAATCCGATGAATGTCGCAAGCCCACCATGAGACGGCTGTCTTGGGTGTGCAATGTGGAACATGGTCCTGTATGTTAAAAGATGGTGTGTAGCTTTTCCCTTGTGTACACTCTAATAAACAACTACTCCAACTGCTGTGTTTACACACTGTAAAACTGCATGTCTGCTCTGAAACAGCCCCTTGTCTAGCAGGGAACACTCCTGACTGCGGGTCTTTGCTGGGTTAAAAGTCCACAGATGTGGTCACTAGGACAAACACAGGACAAAGCACTTGGAAGGTGATAGACTACCAGGTTCACAGGATACTCTTGATTACAGGGATTTTGGGGGAAATGGAGAAGGGGGGTTGTTCCTATGTATGCATGTTCATGTCGGGGGACAGCTTTGGGTGTCATTCCCTAGGTTGGGAGGGAGCCAGGAGCAGAGCAAGGAGATGCAAGAGACTTTAGGAAAGGTTAGAAGGATCAATGGCCTAGAAGTAGGCCTGCCTGGCTGGCTGAGAGGCCCCAGGGTTCCTGTGCTCCATCCCTCACCCCACCCCAGTGCTGAGATTACAAGTGAGTGCTACTGCACCTGGCCTTATTTTTTTTTCCTTTTATTAAAAACTTTTTTTCTCAAAAAAAAAAAAAAAAAAAAAAAAAAAACAAAAAACTTTTTTTCTCACATTATTCTGATTATGGTTTCCTCTCCCTGTACTCCCTCAGTCTTCCCCATCTCCCCTCATCTGGATCCACTCCTTTTCTCTCATTAGAAAACAAACAGGCTTCTAAGGGATAATAAAATATAAAATTCGACAAAAACTAACACATCAGAGGTGGACAAGACAAACAGAAGGGAGACTAAGAGAAGGCATAAGAATCAGAGACACGCTGGGCAGTGGTGGCACACGCTTTTAATCCCAGCACTTGGGAGGTAAAGGCAGACAGATTTCTGAGTTCGAAGCCAGCCTGGTCTGCAGAGTGAGTTCCAGGACAGCCAGGGCTACACAGAGAAACCCTGTCTCAAAAAAAAAAAAATCATTTACACATCTAGGAATCCCATAACACCACCAAACTGGGAGCCGTACTCTATATACAGAGGACCTGGTACAGGCCTGTTCCGGGCCCTGTGCTTGCTACCTCAGTCTGATCAAGTTGGTCTAGAGGGCCTTGTTAGTGTCCCCTGGCTCTTACCCTCTTTGACTCCTCTTCCATGGGGTTCCCAGAGCCCTCCGTAGGCCTCTGGACTAATTTCTGGTTGGGGGGTTCTGTCTTATGGAGTGGGCCTTAAATCAGCTATTGGTTATTCCCACAAGTCTTGTGCCACCATTAATTACCCTAGCATATTTTGCACCCAGGGCACCGTTTTAGTAGATGAAAGGTTTTGTGGCTGGCTTGGTGTTTCTCTTTGTAATTTACTCTCTATCTTCCCATACCAGAGGTCCCTGAGAATGGGGACGGAGTGAGGAGAGGCCACAGCAGGTCTACAGAGCGGGGAATGAGACTTGGGGATTGAACTTGCAGGAATAGAGGGAGAGGTGAAGATGTACAGTGAGCCTACTTGTTTCCCCTGTGAGAATAGCCTGAGGGCTCCCAGGGGGTACCTGCTGGACTGGGGTGGGAGGAGCTGGGACACAGCAGTGAACTGGGGGGAGGGAGGGAGGTTAGGAGGAGAGGATCTGTGGGATCCACTGGAGATGGAGCCAAGGAGAAAGGAACCTGCAGCCAATGTTCTGCTGTAGAGCTGGTGATGAGACTGGGGGATTGGGTTTGGAGGAGCAGAGTCAGCCTACCTGCGTCCCTAGCTGGAGTGCATACCTAGCAATATTTTATGTGGGTTCTAGGAGTAAAACTCGGGTCCTTATGTTTGCACAGTGAGCACCTTACTGACCAAGCCTTCTCTGCAGCCCTCGTCAGGATTTTCACAGCAAGGTTTGTCTTAATCACAGTGAGTGGCAGCAAGTATTTTCTTCTTGCAGTACAGTGATTACTAAGGGGTTCCTAGTCAGAAACTGACTTAAAGCTTGACTTCATGCTTTCATGCTAAAAAAGCCAGACTCCATAGATCGGGTTTGGTCATGTGATAACGTTGCATGTATGCTCCTCTGATTTCCCAGAGAAACCGTTTCAAATTTTCCTATTTAGATAAAGATGGGTGCATGTAAGGGTAGATACAGTATAAACGAAAAGGTAAGCTTTTGATGGGATCCCAGTGCCATACACCAGATAAAATCTGCAAGATAGAATTCAATTACATATGTCAAGGGCATGTGTCTCCTTAAAACAGATCAAAAAGCCAGAAAACCGTTCTGTGAACACACGGCCTGGCTAATAAAATACTCTGAGGGTTGCCTGGCCTCCCAGCACTCACAGGAGAGCAAACAGAGAAGAGCTTGTTAAAACTTGTGCTGCTTCCCTAACAAGCCATACAGGCAGGTTTACTGGAAGCCATCATCTTTGCTGAGTTTGCGGTAGACAGAGGCTTTTTGTGTTACTAGGCATGGCTTCCATTTCTTTGAGGATGTACTTGACACTTTAACCAAGACAAAAATGGAACTCAGCACCTCTGAGTGTGTGTGCATGCCACCAGGAGTGCCTGACCTTTTGACCTGGGACATGACTTGTCTGGGCCCACATGCACAGTTGGATCTTACTGCTCAGGAGCTGCAGGTTAGACTACCTACTCCACACTGTTCCCACATTCAGATGATACTGATTTCTGCTCATCAGCAAGGACGTGAAATGTTGCTGATCTGATTCCATTGGGGTTTCTATTTTAAATAGTGACCATGATGGCCCTATGTAAGAACCACAGTTGTACAGTGACTGGAGACTTTCTTCCACCGACACACGAGACACACATGAGCACGCACACACCTGAAACGATTAGTAAAGGGCTTATGTTAAGCAAGTTTATTAAAAATAATGCTAATGTGATCCCAGGGCACACTGATTTCAAGAGGGTCTTTGCAACAGATTTTATCATAACCACTTATCAACTAAACAACAATGGTGAACTTAACTTATAGAATCAAATAATAGAGGAAAAGGACCAGACTAATCTGGCAGGAACTGAGCTGGCTTTGATCTTCCCTAAACTGTCCAGCCAGCAGCCCTTGGCAAAGCTGGTCTCTAGAGGGTTAATCAGGGCCAGAACTGATGTTTGCAACGGGCTCCTCCTGCACCTGCTAAGGCTCCTAAAAGGCAGGAGCCAGAAAGAAAGCAGAAACAGTGTCCTACACTGTTCCAGTTGTTACAAATGATTAAAGGCCAGTTAAAGATTCTCATGTTCACTATTTCAAAATGCTAGTTTTAAAAAAAGTCACTAGCAACGTACATATTTCCCCTCCGCATCTCTTAAACCCGAACACCCAGTGTAGAAACACTCTCCAGAGAACCAGAGAGAGGAAGAGGGGAACAGATGGTGTGTGGCAGATGCTGGTACTGCTGAGGGGCTGTGGATGCCAGCTGTGGCAACACTAAATCCCCCAATAAGGCATCAAGTGTCGGGACTCCTTCTCATAAACGTCTGGAATGATGCCATAGGGTGTGTGTACCATCTTAACCGAAGACTTCCCAAAGAGCTGGCTCTCGTAGTCTATCAGCTGCCTCCAGAAGCCCAGGTTGGGCCTGATGACAGGCCTCCGGGCTTTCACCCAGTTGTATGCCTCCAACAGGCACAAATTGTGGAATTTCATCAGGTACGCAATACAGAGGGTAGCTGAGCGGCTTACGCCTGCAGCACAGTGCACCAAGGTAGCCCCATGCTTCTTGCTCACACTGTGGATCTTGTCAGCCACAGTGTCAAAGTACAGTCTAATGGGGGCATGAGGAATGTCAGCCAGAGGCACTTTCACATATTCAAACTGGGGCCAGTTGAAGTTGGGGATCTCGATGGTAGCATTGACGACACAGGTGATGCCACGGGCCTGGAGGAGGTGGCGGTTGGAGGCCACACTGGCTCTGCCCAAGAAGAGAGAGGAGGTGATCTGAGCAATGCCTCCTATGTCTCCCTCGGAGATCATCCGAGGAGCCATGAGAGTCCGTGGGAGCGTGCTGTGACCTCTGGAGCTCATGAAGATGCCAGTGGTCACACTCTCATCATCAGGGGGCAAGACCAGAGAGCAGTGGAGTCCGTCCTCCACCAGGGAATCCAAGACTGCAGCCTCCTTCCTGCAAGATACAGGTAACTGTCAGAATTTTACGTGTTTCTCAGCCACCACAGCCATCACAGCCACCACCTCCAGGGCTTTGGGGGAAGGGAAGAGAAAGGAAGTAAGGCAGAGGGCATGCTTTACAGGAAGTAAATAAATCATTTTCTATTGGCCATTAGGAGATGTAGCCTGCAATGCCAAAATGTAAAATCAATATGAAACTATGCTTTTTTTTTTTTAAATCCCTTCAGTGAAAATAGTCACCCTATTTTTAGAAAAAGTTAAAAGACAGAAAACACGCCTGACTGGTTCCTGAAGAGCCATCTGGCGGAGTCCTCCTGAAGGGAGGGCCATTCCTCAGTTCTTCGGGGTTGGGAATCAAACCCAGATTCACACTGGCTACACAAGTCTACTGGCACTAAGTTACAGTCTGTGCCCAGAAATCTGAAGTGTTGTACTCTACAGAGCCATGGGACTGCGTGCTTCTCACTCCTGTGTTTCACTAACCCTGAGTGATGTCACAGTCAAGGTAGGTAGTAAACTACCTTTACAGAATGATGAAACTGGACACTGGCAAAAGGAAGCCGCATTGTGTGTGTTCCTCGCTGTTTAAAAATACAATTATATATGTATTTATTGTATGGTGTATGTCTGTGTGCCTGTGTGTATGGGGGAGGGGTGAGAAGACCTCTCATGGGAGTTCTCTCTTTCTACCAGATGGGCTTCAGGGACTGAACTCAGGTCACTGGCTTGGCAACAAGGACTTTTATCTGCTAAGCCATCTGACCAGCCCAAGACACTAACTTCTTTAATTTAATGATGTTGATTTTTTTTTTTAATTTGGTTAAAGTACTATACTATACTATGGCTTTTCCATGGTAATAATCCCAGGCAATTTGGAGGCACAGTGTGTGTGTGTGTGTGTGTGTGTGTGTGTGTGTGTGTGTGTGAGAGAGAGAGAGAGAGAGAGAGAGAGAGAGAGAGAGAGAGAGAGAGAAAGAAAGAAACATA